TCTTAATCCTGACAACCGAACTTCTTACAGTTCAATTATGGTTTTATATGTAACAGTATTGTATATCCGTAAAGCTTTTTCATTAATTCATTCAAGAAAATAGTTGTTGGCCGAAATTGGTTTGGCTCAGGGGTAGAGCGTTGGTCTGCGGACTGAAAGGTCCCAGGTTTGATTCTGGTCAAGGGCATGTACATCGGTTGCGGGCACATCCCGGGTAAGGGGTGTGCAGGAGGCAGCTGGTTGATGTTTTTCTCTCTCATCGACATTTCTAGCTCTCTAACTCTCTCCCTTCCTCTCTGTAAGAAATCAATAAAATATATATATATTTAAAAAAAAAAAAAAAGAAAAGAAAAGAAAAGACCAGGACCGGTTTAGCTCAATGGATAGAGCGTTGGCTTGGGGACTGAAGGGACCCGGGTTCAATTCCGGTCAAGGGCATGTACCTTGGTTGCCGGCATATCCCCAGTAGGGGGTGTGCAGGAGGCAGCTGATCCATGACTCTCTCTCATCGATGTTTCTAACTCTCTATCTCTCTCCCTTCCTCTCTGTACAAAATCAATAAAATATATTTAAAAAAAGAAAAAAGAAAAGAAAAGAAAATAGTTGTTGAACACCTACCACATAAACATATGTTAGGTATTCATTTATTCAACACTTAGCGAATTCTTACCGAGCACTTCCTGTGTGCCCTGCCCTGTTCCAGAAACCTGCAAGATAGTGATCAACAAGGCAGGTAAACAGGTTTCTGTTCTCCCAGAGCCCATGATTTTAGTGAGAGAACAAAGAACAGGAGTTAAGGGAGCAGACTAGAATGAGTAATAATTTTGAGTAAATTCGGAAATCAAGTCATAGTAGACTTCCTATCAACTCTGATAGGATGGGGAAGACGCCCATTATTTCAATGAATCAAAATGAAATTGAAAAGATACTATTGTTTTGTTTTGTTTTTTAATTTAAATACCTGTATCTTCCCACCGTCAGTGTGTTTGGAAGCCAAGAATTCCAATCATTAACTATCAGATTTCATACATAAACTACTGTTTTCACTTTACAATCTGTATATTACTAAAGTCACTAAGTTGTTAAGAAAAAATTCCCATAAAGTTAATAAATGATCAAAGAATGAAGATGAAGGAAAAGAAACTAAGGACTAATATTACAATAAGTGTGCATTTATATCAAGGTTCTTAAACCTTGATACAGTTCATATTAAATATTAAACTAAGCAATTAATATTGTTTTCTGAACAAACTTTAGTGGGAAATTTTTATGACCTTTAAGCACTTTTAAATTTCACCACTTCAAAAATCTGTGGAAGGCTGGGAAAACAACTTGTGCAAAAAATGTAAACTTCTAGTAAAAATATGAAGGAAGTCTGTTTTTGTTCAACATATAAGCCACTATATTTTACACCAAAAATACAGCTTGTCCTGATTATACAGGTTGTGTTCATTTGGTGAAATTTTGAGAAATGTTTACGACATGGATGTTTTTAAAGAATAAAATCTCAGAATCATTATACTTATACCATTGAACCAAGAGGCCAGAGAATGGAGATGGGCTCCTACAGAAAAAAATAAAGGCCCAAGCCCTAACTGGTTTGGTTCAATGGATTGAGTATCAGCCTGCAGACTGAAGGGTCCCAGGTTCGATTCAGGTCAAGAGCATGTACCTTGGTTGTAGGCATATTCCCCAATGGGTGTGTGTGTGTGTGTGTGTGTGTGTGTGCAGAAGCCAGCTTCTTTCTCATCGATCTAACTTATTTCTCTTCCTTTGAATCAATGCTTCTTTCTCATCGATCTAACTTATCTCTCTTCCTTCCTCTCTGTAAAAAATCAATAACATATATATTTAAAAAATAAATAAAGGCCCAAATAATTTTGTGCTTAGTTTGATCACTAATTATGAAACCTTATTCAATTCTCTGGGCCTTGGTTTCTGTATCTGAAAAAGATATAATGGATACCTAATAAAACTCACAGAATTTAACATGGGTGAGAGTAAACTGATATATTTTCATGTTAACCTGTTCTGAAAATTTAAGATTATATACATGGGGGAAAAAGATTATATACATGAAAATGGGACACACGCTAAACAGTACATGAGAGATATAGCCAGTTCTTAAAGAAGTGCACATTCCTGAATCTTCTCCTCTCAAAACCACGAAGACAGGCTGCATCAATTCTAAATACCACCTGTCATCTGTCAGTCACTCTTCTGATTGGCTGCACCCTGGCTCACTCAGAGAAAATTGAAAACCACTGGGTCCCTCTCCACCTCCAATCCTTCCATTCTCAGGAAGATGCCCTGACTTCCTTACAGCCCAGGCTTGCTGACCTTGGTGTCCCCTAGCACCGGGGTTGACAAACTGTGGCTCGCGAGCCACATGCGGCTCTTTGGCCCCTGGAGTGTGGCTCTTCCATAAAATACCAAGGTTTTGGCGAGTCTATTTTGAAGAAGTGGCGTTAGAAGAAGTTTAAGTTTAAAAAATGTGGCTCTCCAAAGAAATTTCAATCGTTGTCCTGTTGATATTTGGCTCTGTTGACTAATGAGTTTGCCGACCATTGACCTAGCACACACAGTCTTCGTGCGGTTGGTGCTTCACAGGTGATGGGTGTATTTCTTACATTCTATTTTCATCATGTCATACTTTCACGTTAATAAAGCTCTACTGGAGTCAAATTGAAATCTGTAAGGTAGGTGACATAATGTAAAAATCCTGAATTTAAAAAAGTAACCTTCATATGTGTTTAGATTTATTTATTTATTTATTTTAGATAATTTTGGATTAGAAGGCCTTTTAAAGCATCTATGGTGTTAAAAGTAAAAACCACACTATGGGGTTAAGTCCTTCTGCATGGATGTACAACCGGAATGCTCTGTCCTCAGGTCTAATGATGGACTCCTTGTCATTTGGGTCTCAGTGCCTATGTTTCTCTTTCTAAGGAGTCTTCCCTGGATACCCAGTCTGAACATCCCAAGTTTCTCATTACATTATCCATGACACTCATCACTCTTGTCCTTTTTTAGATGTTTGCTTCTTGCATAATATCTGTCAATAGACAGCTGCATAAGAGCAGAGACCTGGCCCTAAAGTCTAGACCAGACTATCTTACAAGTTCCTCTAACCCTAGGCAGATGCCTGGGACATGGGTCTTGTTCAAATTGAGACTTGACTCCATGTCAGGCTTCCTATGAAATCCCACCTGCTTCTAGTCCTCACAACTGTAAACTGTAGGAATTATTCCCCATTTTTAGACGAAGAAAGACTCAAGGAGGCTTAATTCATATCTGAGAAGACCGTCTGATGCTCAAGTCTAACCCCTTCCCACCACTACTGACAAGGTGGATTCTGAATCTTTCCCACCCTTCTCCCACACACCGATTGCCACAATTAACTACAGGTATTAAGCACTGCGCTGAAATATTATTTCTTGGAGCTAAAGGTATTAGCAAAGCAGGAAAAACATGAGGAAGTTCAAACAAGCTGGTGTAGCCCACACACCCACCTTACGGATCCTTGGGTAAACAAGGGTGGAAGGGTTAGAAGCAATCTAACTTACTGGTTTAGGAATTATTTTGACAAAGGTCATACAACCTGACTATCTAGGAAATCTACATCCAGCTGCCATGGTAACTAACCGCTTCCAAAATCTCAGCTTTTCAAGAGTTTGCGAACGGTTCAGGCATTTCTCCTCTTTCTTGGTGTTCCTTTTCTCTCTCTCACTATGGTTTCGACTTTTGACTAGTCCACGGCCTTAAAAACAAACAAACAAGCAAACAACAACAAACCTCTCCAAAATCAAGGAATAAGTTGGAGGGACCAAGAGGAGAGAAAATCGGGGAAGTTGCCAGCAGCAACTTTGGGAAAGGTATATATATATATATATATATATATATATATATATATATATATATATATATATAGTTCTTATCAGGCCCTTCACTGTCCTATTTATATTTTCATCAGATAAATGAAAAACTGCCTTGATGTGAAAACCCTCACAATTTCCAGCTGATACACTCTCTTCCTGTCGCACCCACACTCCACCACCCCCAGTTTCCGTCCGGGTTCGGGGCTGTGACTGCCTGGGTGAATGCAGAAAGCCTGCGGGTGTTGTAAAGACCTGGGGGTCATGTAGGGGCTGACAGCAGTGAGACCTACTCATGACTGCGCCCCGTCCTCTTCTCCTCTCCCATTGGGCTCTCCCTTAACGCAGCCAAGAAGTGACTGTACAAGGAGTCAGAGGAGAAACCACAGCGGGACGGGGGACTTCCCATCTCGGAGTCAGAGAGATGTGGGCGCCCCAGGCGGGTCCAGCGCGCTCGCCCGCGGTCCAGGGCGCCTGCCCAGGGTGCACGCAACACGCAGGACTCGGTCCCGGGCACGCCCTCTGGCCACTCACTGGACGATGTCGACAGAGGAGGACTCTGGAAGTGAGTCAGAGCCTTTCTCAGGCGAGACTTGGGAGTCTTCCCACAGCATCCTGACTGTCTCCGAAACAAGACTCAGCACAGTGTAATGCACAGGGACCTCCCTTCCCGACTGGGATGGGAGCCACGTCGGTCTTGTGTTCCACCGACTCGGGCATTCCCACCGAGGCTGGCACCTGGCTGGCACCTGGCTGGCACCTGGCTGGATACCGGCTGAGAGGCTGGATGAATGCACGCACGGTGAATGCATTAAGAGTAGGGGTATCCCTGTGGATTGAAAGGTCCCAGGTTCGATTCCGGTCAAGGGCATATGTACCTTGGTTGCGGGGCACATCCCCAGTAGGGGGTGTGCAAAAGGCAGCTGATCGATGTCTCTCTCATCGATGTTTTTAATTCTCTATCCCTCTCCCTTTCTCTCTGTGAAAAAATCAATAAATATATATATTTTTTAAAAAGAGTAGGGGTGTCCCTTCCGCGCCTCTGCAAGTACCCGGGACAGCCCATGGGATCTCATCGCCACCCCGAGGCCAGGCCCCCCGGCTCGGCTCGGGGCACACACTCACCTTCTCGGCAGGGCTCTCCGGGCGGCAGCCTCACCTCTCCCCCCATGGCCCCCGGGCAGGGCTCTCCGGGCGCGGCCGCTCGCTGGCTCCTCCGCCACCGCCTGGACCCGGCTCCCCGCGCGGGCGGGCTCAGCCCCTGGTGCGCTGGCCCCGCCCCCTGGAGGCCTCAGCCAATGGGGGGAGACTGGGCGGGGCCTGCGGGCTAGCCACGCCCCCTACCTGCCGGGTTGGAGGGTGGTTCTCGGTGGGAAGGCGGCGGCGGCGTCTCCCAGTTGCTGGCGGGACGCGCCCCTTTGCCCGGCGGGAGCGGGGCGGTGAGGGGCACAGGCACACCCCGCGGGGCCGAGGCTTCTCTCCGAGCATGGAGGCCCCCGGGCCAAGCCTTGGGGAGTCAGTGGAGTGCATGCACAGGCTGTGCAGGGGGGGGACCCTTCTGGCTCGCCCGGAGGGGAAGTGCCTCCTGCTGCGGGGTTCTGAGCGCTCCCCGCCCCACGTTAGCGGCTCTGCAGGGCAGTGGCTGGCCGCTGGGGTTGTGCGCCGATGGCCACGCCAGAGTTTAACCTGGGCGCTTTGGTTTAACCTGGAACACCGCGCCCTTCCGTACCGGTGTCAGCCTCTCCCGCGCTCCTTCGACTTCGAAGTTGGTCATCGAGTTATTTGCAATAAACCTTAAAGGAAAGGCAGCGCTTCAAACGGAAATGACTGGTTCCTACAAAATAGTAATAGCTCACATTTGTGATATTTAAAAAGTATATATATTTTTAAATATTTTACTGATTTTTTTTACAGAGGAAGGGAGAGGGACAGAGAGCCAGAAACATCGACCAGCTGCCTCCTGCATCCTCCCCTCCCCCAACCAGGGATGTGCCCCAGCTGCCTCCTGCACACCCCCCACCAGGGATGTGCCTGCAACCAAGGTACATGCCCTTGACAGGAATAGAACCAGGGACCCCGCCCCAGTCCACAGGCCAACACTATCCACTGAGCCAAACCGGTTTCAGCCATTTGTGATATTCATACTTTACCAGGCATGTGCAGGCACTTTACATGCATGAACTCAGTATATGTCACAACATCGTCTATTAACCCCTGGTTTACAAATGAAGGATCAGTTCTAAAAAGGTTGGATCAACCAAGTAGGCAGTGGAAGGCTTCCTAGCAGGTCATGATGCAACAGGAGATGATGACCATTCTTGAGGAAGCCCTCATCACAGGCCTTTGTGCTCTGGAATTTACCGGAGGAAAGGCTGCTCGCCTTGTCTTTGCCCTGGGTTGTCATTAACTTTATTACCCAAGAGTTCCAGAGCAGAGGGCTCTGTCTTGCTTTTCTTGTTCTTCGGCTGATGAGAGAAGAGTTAACAACCGGTCACCATGCGGCACACAGGTTCACAGGTGGATGGCTTGGTGGAGAAGGCTTAGCATGGGGAGGGGTACGGTGAACACTGGATGGGAGGGAGATTTAGGGCAAACTTGGATAACAAGCCTTAAAACTTAGGTTTCTAGTTAAAGGTTTTAACATCAGATTTCAAGTTTTTACCTTCATCGAAGATTGGTGAGAACAGTGAATGTGTTGTGAAGTATTATTTATTGTATAGTTAACCAACACAAGTAGCATTTATGTGGGTAAGCACTATTCTAAACACTTTAAAAACATTTGCTTTTAAAATCATCACAATAGATACTTTATTAATCCCCCTTCTTCCTTACAGAGAGGAAAGGGAGGCAGATAGAGAGTTAAGTCACTTGCCTATGGACAGATAGCTAATAGGTGGTGGAGCTGGAATGCTAACTAAAGAAATCTGACTTCAGAGTCTGTGCTTTTACCCCATTTGCTAAATGGATATATATATATATATTTTAAATTGGATATTTAAAAAACTAAGAATTACTGTTGCAGTGTTTTTTTTTATTTTGTTTTTTTAAAATTGAATTCTGGCTTCTTAGTAAAGTCTATTTAATGTAAGAGGCACTTTGTGGTAATTCTTGTTTGTTGGTTCTAGAAATAAAAAACAAAAACACAGAAACATAAAAGTAAGCTTATCTAAGATCACTGTTTTCCCAGTTTAAATGTTGCTTATCAGAACTTTACAATATATTTCCCTTCACTGCCTATTTTAGATGACTTTTGGATATTATGCGATTATAGCACCATAGACTGTCATTAACTTTGGAGACTTTTATTCCTGTTAGAAAGTATGGTGTTTATTTAACTAAAAGAAGAACATTAAAAAATCTACAAGGAGCCCCCTGCACAACTCTGGGAAGACTCTTTTCTGACACGAGGCCCTCTAAAACATCCGCTCCTGTCTTACTGGTCTTGCAGACTCAGCAGTGATGGTCCAAATAATGAACAAACGCTGAGGCTTCAAGGAACCAGGCCACAGGTTCTTTGAACAGTGCAGGGGTCTGATAGGGTCCCTGTTGGATAAGGCTTTAACCCTTCAGTTGCTAGATTGTGGAGAGATCTAAGGTTCCTGGGGCAGAGATGGGGTGAGTATGCTGGAGGGGTGTTTTTGGAGAGGGTTAAAACTTGAGACTATTTGCAGACGTTACAGTCCTGCCTAGCATTATGCCAAGTCTACTCCTGGGAATTCATGATGCCTTACTTTTTTTTCAGTCAGTCTAGCTAGGAGGTTATCAGTTTTTCCAAAAACCATCTCATATCTTTGTTGATTTTCTTTATTGATTTTTAAAAGTTCATTGACTTCTGCTACTATTTTCAAAAATATATATTTTATTGATTTTTTACAGAGAGGAAGAGAGAGGGATAGAGAGTTAGAAACATCGATGAGAGAGAATCATCGACCAGCTGCCTCCTGCACACCCCCTACTGGGGATGTGCTTGCAACCAAAGTATGTGCCCTTGACCGGAATCGAACCTGGGACCTTTCAGTCTGCAGGCCAACGCTCCATCCACTGAGCCAAACCGGTTTTGGCTATTTTTTTGTTTAAATCATTCTCTTTCTCTTGTATTGAGTTTAATTTGCTTTTCTTCTTCTGGCTTCTATGGTAGAAATGTAGATCATTGCCCTCAAATACTGCTCTAGCTATATCCCATAAAAATTGAGATGTGTTTTTATTACTTAAGTAGAGGCCCAATACACGACATTAATGTACTGGGGAGGCATGGGTTCCCTCAGCCTGGCCTGCACCCTTTAGCAATCTGGGAACCTTTGGGGGATGTCCGACTGACAGCTTAGGTTCTCTGACTGACAGCTTAGGCTCTCTCTCCAGGGGGCCTAAGCCGCAGGCGACATCATTAGCACTGCTGTGGAGATGAGAGAGGCTCCTGCCACTGATGCTATACTCGCCAGCAGTTCAGCCGGGTTTGTGGCTTAACAGCATGCCCCCTATGGGAACTCACTGACCACCAGGGGGCAGCTCCTATGTTGAGTGTCTGCTTCCTGGTGGTCAGTGTGCATCATAGTGACTGGTCTGTCCACCATTCAATCAATTTGCATAGTACCCTTTTATTATATAGGATTAGTTAAAATATTTTGAAATTTTCTCTATGATTTATTTTTTGATGCATGGATTATTTAGGAATGTGCTGTTGATTTCTAAATATTTGGGATTTTTTTTTTCTCAGATATGCTTCTGTTATTGATTTCTAACTTAATTCTGTTTTGGACATAGAACATATTCTGTATAATAATAGGCTTCTGACATTTATTGAGATCTGGTTCATGGTCTATTTTAGTGAATGTGCCAAGTGAAATGGAAAAGAATGTGTATTCTGCAGTTTTGGGGTATAATGTTTTATAAATGTCAATTAGGTTAAATTGCTTGCTCAAAGTCTAGTTTATTACTGATTTTTTAAATTTGTTCTGTCAATTACTGAGAAAGAAGTGTTGAAATCACCCGTAATTTTGAATTTGCCTATAAATTCAGTGCTGTTAGTTTTTGCTTCACGGATTTTTGAAGCTTTGTCATTAAGTGAATATATACACAGGGCTGTTAGGTCTTCTGAGTCTATTGACACTTTTAGCATTATTAAATACTAGTGGTCCAGTGCACAAAATTCATGCACATTAAAAGGGAAATAATTAGAGGAAATATTTTAATATTGCTATTTACCCTTTCTCTATAATTGAAGTGCCCCATCAAGCCACACTAGGTGGGGAATGCAGCGTCATGTCCCCCAGTCTCGCCACACATGCAGCCCCACCTACGCACACCTGCAACGCTCGCAGCCTCCTGATAATCGGTCGTTACAATGTGAGGGCATCATGACCATTTGCATATTAGCCTTTTATTATTATAGATTCCTGCTTATTTATAGTAATACCTTTTTAAAAATATATAAATATTATGGATTTTTTTTTTTTACAGAGAGGGAGAGAGATAGAGAGCTATTGATAGAAAGGTCTATGAGAGAGAAACATCGATCAGCTGCCTTTTGCACACCCCCCACCAGGGATATGCCCGCAACCAAGGTACATGTCCTTGACTGGAATCAAACCTGGGACCTTTCAATCCTCAGGCTGTTGCTCTATCCACTGAGCCAAACCGGTTTCGGCATAGTAATACCTTTTTTATTTGATGGTACCTTGAAATTTATATAGCAAAACCAGATGTTTTATTATGAGTTTACATGTTATACCTTTTTCTATCTCTTACCTTCTAATTTATCTTTATATTTAAAACTTATTTCTTATAAATAAAATATAGATGCATTTTATTTTTTAAAAAATATTTACCTGATGATATATTTATTGATTTTGAGAAAGAGAAAGAAGACATTGATAGATTGGCTCCTTCATGCAGTCCAGGAACTGGGGATCAAATCTGCAACCTAGGTATGTGCCCTGACCAGGAATCAAACCTGCAACCTTTTGGTGTATGGGACAGTGCTCCAACTAATTGAGCCACCTGGCCAGGGCTGCACTTTCCTTTTTTTAAACAAACTGTCAATCTCTGATTTTATTGGTCTATTTAGTGTGTGAACATGTTTTGTAATTATTCATATAGTTGGATTAAATGCTGAAGAAGTTCCTTTAACATTCTTATAGTGTGTATTTGCTAGCATAGGTGCTCTCCATTTTT